CAGTTCCTGTCTGGCCACGGCTGCTTCAGGAAATACCTGCATCGGTTCGGACACGCAGCGTCACCCCTCTGTTCATAGTGTGGCAACGTGGATGAAACGCCGGAGCATGTGGTCTTCGACTGTCAAAGGTTCGAGGCAGTGCGAAGGGAGACGTCTTTAACGTGGAGAATGTCGTCGATGAAATGTGTCGAAAGGAAGGCACTTGGCATGCTGTCAGCAGCTGCAGCGACAAAGGAGAGAGGAGCAGCGATCTAGCAACACCAGAACACCCGATGAATATTGACGAGATGCCGCTTCAAGTTGAATACCGTGTCTACTTTGAATGATTTTCCATTTGCCCTGCAAAGCACAAAATTCACAACCACCGGTACTGTCGTCAAACCGCACTTTTTTCTTTATGAAGAACAGTTTGCACTTTGTGCCGGAATCTTTGGAGAAACAATAACGCATTTGCACTGCTATCTTTCTCACGGAAGTGAGTGTATAATCAGACAAACAGTGAACTGTCAACTCCCAAGTAATAATTTTGGTTTATGAGGGTTCTGTAGACCACGATTTAGACTTGTAGCATGCTTTAAAACCACTATAAAACTTGAAATGTTACTTAGGCTCTCTCACTCTCCCGTGCTGTGTCTAACAATCTCTCCAGTGGTGCCACGAAAAATCTCCGAGGAGATAAGCAGACATTCACCGCAGAGAATGATACCTCTCGCACCCGGGTGATTCTCCCCAGAGAATTTTCAACCCTGTTTGTAAATACAATAGGCAATACCGGCCACGTCCTTGCAATCAGGTGGGAGTAGGGAAGGAATATTAGAGTGACCTTTGTTGTTTGTGGGCCGTGTTTACCTCTGCACCCCAACAAAATACACAGGAAAGGAGATTTTGTTAGTAAGTTGGGTTCGTTGGATCAGGATTCACCTTGATAAGTGATGCGACCATGGTTTTAAATGAATCAGTGTTTTCATGCATTATACTTGGATTTGCCTGAAGCCTAAACAAAATGGTGTATCATTGGGCCTTATTACGGGTGTCACTACACGGTGATAAGCAAGTGATACTCAGAATAAGAGCCGTGATTACCGTACAAATCAAATGGGAATCACTTCACCGTGACGACAAGTGACAACTTTTCACCGTGATGTGACACCCTTAATAAGCCCCATTATAATATAAATCTGAAGACGTTCCATCATCGAAATGCTGAAAATAAACTTAGAGCATGAGCATGAGCAAAATTGATCGCCCGCGACTGCCAACCAAAGAGCTGAAAACCAAATCAAACAAATCAAATCAACAGACAAAACCAGGGTGAAAGCTGTAAGAGTGAATCATTACAGTATAAATCTAATGAAGTTCCGTCATCAAAGAGCTGGAAGAAAACTCAAATAATTTAAATCAATAGATCCAGTCTGAATGAAGGCTGCAAAAAGAGAATAATATTACAGCAATGACCCCATTTTGTCAGCTAGCAAAGTATGTGTACCTTAAACATTCATCTTGAAGGAGGAAGGTATGAAATTACAATTACGTGGAATTATTGAAAAATAACAGTCTGATGCGCGGAGAGGTTGACAGGATCGGGTCATAACTGTAATGTGAATATTAGGAAGATTTATCATCATCAATTTATTCTTGAATTAACCTGGAAGAATGCTTGTGAATAATTGTTATACAGATAAATTAAATTGATAAACTAAATGGTTCAAACAACAACTCCAGCCTGTAGAAAAGCTGAAAATAGGGAATCTTTACAATGTGAGTCCCCCACGGTCTTCTACTCAGTAAGCAAAAGCGGCAGCCACCAGGCTAGTCGAGCTGCTCAATTTAAATATTGGGACCTTTATTCGACCGGACCGTCCTCCGAAGACCAAAGTAGGCACGATTCCCTGCCATAATGCGTCTTTGAATTTCTCTGGTGGTATCATTTTCGGCGGTCACCAGTGAGCCCAAATATACGAACTCATCGACCACCTCGATTTCGTCACCGTCAATCTGAACTCGGGGTGGGAGGCTAACATTGTCTTCCCTAGAACCTCTTGCTTTCATGTATTTTGTCTTCGATGCGTTGATGGCAAGTCCAATCCGTCTAGCTTCAGCCTTCAGTCTGATGTACGTTTCCGCCATCATCTCAAAGTTCCGTGCCATAATGTCAATGTCATCGGCGAAACCAAGGAGCTGGATGGACTTCCTGAATATCGTGCCACTCGTGTCTATCTCAGCTCTTCTGATCACACCTTCTAACGCGATGTTGAACAGCAGACACGAAAGTCCATCACCTTGCCGTAACCCCTCTTCGAGATTCAAAGGGACTCGAGAGTGTCCCCGGTACTCGAACAACGCACATCACTCGATCCATCATCGCCTTGACCAATCGCGTCAGTTTATCCGGAAATCCGTACTCGTGCATAATCTGCCATAGCTGATCTCGATCGATTGTGTCGTTTGCGGATTTGAAATCGATGAACAAATGATGTGTGGACACGTTGTATTCGCGGCATTTCTGGAGAACCTGCCGAATCGCGAAAATTTGGTCCGTGGAAGCGCGGGCACCCATGAATCCCGCCTGGTATTGCCCCACGAACTCTCTTGCAAATGGTGACAGGCGGCGGCATAGAATATGGGAGAGTACCTTGTAGGCGGCGCTCAGCAGTGTGATCGCGCGGTAGTTGCAGCAATCCAACTTGTCGCCCTTTTTGTAGATTGGGCATACGACACCTCCCATCCACTCCTCCGGTAATATCTCCTCCTCCCAAATCTTGGCAATTACCCAGTGCAGCGCTCTAGCCAGTGCTTCACCACAGTATTTTAATAGCTCACTTGGTAGTTGATCTACACCAGTTGCTTTGTTGTTCTTCAGCCGACTGATCTCCTCCTCAACTTCTTGAAGATCAGGGGCTGGTAGCCTGTCGTCTTGCTCCAAGGAATTGCATTCTGAGGATAGTTCCATCACAATTTTGAGGAAAGTTTCAAAGGAATTCTGAGGAGCATTCCAACGATATTCTGGTGATAGTTTTCAGAAAATTCAAAATAGAGTTCCAAGGAAATTGAGAGGAACTTTTAAATTAATCAATGGTAGTTCTGAGCGGAACTAAAAAAGGATTTCTATAGTAATTCCATGGAAATATCAGGAGAATACAAAGTGAATACTGAGGAGAACTCCAAGTGATTCTTTTCAGCTGTACTTTTTGGGAAATTGCTTGGTAATACATTGCATGAAATCCCCATGCTTGGAATAGGGTTAAGCATTGCTTAAAACGTTTGGCACTCTATTTTTTTTAATTCTAGTGCAGTTTACTTTTCGTCTTTACAGAGTAGGACTTTCTGTGTTCGTACCAGAATTTGACGGTTATGCTTAGAGATACATGCATTTTACTAATTACGGACGTTCTTATGGAGTCGAGAAAACTTGTATTCCACAAACTTGCTAGGTAATTTGGTGGTTTAAATGCAAAAACTACTACTTTCGCCTCTTTTCTTCTTCGCATTTCAAGCTTATTGCTTATCACATATTACCTAATTGCATGCTCTCAACTAAGTATTATAGATGCACTTCAACAGTTATTATTTGAGAGCTTTCGATTCTTGTATCATTTTTGTATTAGTATAATTGTGTGGCATACTCTATGCCACGGGAAGACGAGACATTTTTTAACCCGAAAAAACCATAAACCGGACCAGGAGTTGAACACAGCCATCTCATGCTTTGTAGCTGCGCCTTTACCGACTGAGCTAAGGGAGGCCCCTTACACTCGGCTCACAGTACTCAAATCCTCAGCATCGCTTGCGGTTGGTAAATACGACACCGACGATGTGATTCTACCACAAAGAGGGTCATGCACTACGTATTATTCGTCTTTTACATATTTGGTTATTACATCCTAGCTGGATCCTTACGCTTGCTCTCAACTGAGCTCTTCCAGAGTTGTTAATTGAGAGCTTTATTCTAAGTTCATATCATTTTTTCACCCATACATTGTGTGCATGCACAAAGTTACTCTTAACGCAGGGAAGTCGAGAGTCATGCACTCCTTAGCTTCTTCATTATACACCGTGAGCGGACATACGTCACATCATTATGCGTTAAATTTTCAGCTAATTTAATATGTGTGAAACTAATTGGATTGTTTCCTCCTGTAGGGCAACCTAGTCGTCTACATGAATTTTCTCCGCGTTGCCACGCATCTTTTGACAGGTATTTTCAAGCGGCACAAATTCTACGTGGCAACCAGTGGGATGACTGATGCACCTGTATATTTATTTTGAATGAGATATGGCAACCGAAATCGTTATTTTCGACCTTCGCTATTAAATCAGTGAACCACCCTATGAGTACACAGTTTGATATGTATACCAACCTTCACTCCCAGCAATGCATTGTTTATGTTTACCGGCGTTTGTATCGTTGCGCATCTACCAGCTCTAATTCAATTACTCAGGATATTACAATTTACATTTCAACAATAATTACATGCTTCTCGTACGGATGGCTGCTCGGTGGAATTTCCGTGCATCGGAGAAAATGACAAACTAGTTCCTCTCGTATGCGTACCTACATTATTGGCAAGGCATATTTGCTAACTCACCATAGGCCACAGGAAGAAAGTCATTAGGCGCAAAAATGTGAAAATGATTTATCCTTCTGGCCGTGATTATTTTCCCGTTGTTCGTGTGGGAAAGTTACGCTTCTGATGGAGGTGGGGCGGAGAAAGCCTTCTCGTAATCGTAATGAGTTTTCATCGAGCAACTTCCTGATTACAAAATAATATTCTCCGATCGAGTGGGTCGTTTTCAACGGTGGTTCCCAGACCCAACAAAATTAGCTACTCAAGTGGCATTTACTGAACCTAATGAGGATATGATGGGGGTGGTTGGTCGCTATACAGGTCATTAAATGGTAAAACAGAGGAGGTGATGTTGATCCTGGTTTAATTATGTAGCAACTTAATTTGCCGTTGCGTTAGCTAATCCATTGCTCTGTTTACTTTGGTTACAGATTGTGGACTACATCCCGTTTTTCAGCAGCCGAAATCCTAACAAACCATGAACTGCAATAGGTGACAGCAGCGTGCGATCCCCGCATCAAAGCAAAAACCGGTCTCAATGGCTGCGATTGCCATTGAATCCACCTACTGGCAAATTCAACTTTACTGATCATCGTTTGGCAAAGGAGCTCCACCAGTCGTAGCTGCACTTACGCATACATCGCTCGTTTGCACGCTCAACTGTATACATCATGGACGTTGACAGCTATGACAGCGGAGACTACAATACTACCGATTACGTCAATCGAACGACACCTATCTATTCGATTAATCCAGATTTTATGACACAATGGTAAGTTTCTATCCTCGTATCTTCGAAGAAGCCTGTCCCATTTTCTTCATGATACAAAATCGATATCCATCCAATAGTTCATTCTACGGTGGTTGCTCTTACTTTTTCGTCGAATTAAGCGAACAAAAACTGGATTCTTTGCATGATGTGTTGAAAAAGTAAGAACAAGGGCTATTATATTTCCATTTACATGTTTCTCACCGGAATTGTGCTGAGCAATCGAGCGACCCCTACTTGTGTAGCAGTCCTGCTATATGGGTGTATGTTTAGACGGAGAGTAGACGGCCGGAAAAAATAGCTGTAAATATTTTCCTTATCAGACACGCAGGCTTTGACGGACCAGTTGGAAACAGGGATGTTAAAGTCATTACTTATGTTTCCTTTTTTATGGGTAATTGCTGTTAGCGCTTCTTGTTGTAATACCACGATGGATAACGCACTGAAATTGAATTGTGGATTTTTGGAAAAATTTAACAGATGGAAGCAGATGGAATAAGCTTAAATACCATTTAATCGTTTTGTTCCTTGGGCTTTTAAATTGCGGTTCTTGAAAGATTGATACTGGTTTGCATCTTTTTTCCACGGGAAGTTGACTAAACTTAAGGCTACTATCTATCAAAAACCATCGTGTAAAATTTGAAGTAGAATCTCCATACATGAAGCTGTTGAATCTGCTCCACTGGTTCATTTCTCACAGCATGCATCATAAAGACCGTCCAGAAGAAAAGAATCTCATCAGACACTGTTCAAACTGCAGGGAAAAGGGGAAGAGACGTTCCATTTTCCATTTTAAATGGAAACTACAATGAAAGCACACTGTTGCATTGAGACGAGTTTCTTGAGTAAATGGTAGTTCCTTTTAGATGATGCGAAGAAAACGATCGGCCAATCCTCCGAATGAAGCAGGCGGAATAACCGGTCGGAGGAAATGAAAACGGGCAAACATTGATAACAATAAAACTTTTGATAAATGAATTTTTTTCTCCTCTCATGGCTGTCTTTAACAAAATATTCTCCTGCATTATGCGGGGTATGTTCGCCTCAACAGCTGACTACACTATCCCGGTCTATGTCCATGAATGAACGCTCCTCGGGAAGCAATCCACTTCTCCTTCTCCAGCTTAGATCGTCGCATCGGCGGCCCGCATTTGCATATTCGAACCCGGTGGTTATGTGAAAGGCATTTGTGAAGAAATTTCACATGACACAGTGATTCAGGAGTGGAAACCTTCCCCCCCCCCAGTAATCCATTACTGGCAGCAGTATTCTGTGCTGGAGTGTGCCTATTCATGCGACAGTTATCGATTTTAATTGGCCCTGAGGGCGTTGAAATATTTCAACGAGCAACTCCTTCCCCAAGCATCCAGTGAAAGCACTCTCCCGTTCGTTGCCTCGCCAACAAGGTGTTGTGGCAACAACATTAAGACTTTGTTGCCCTAGGGTAGAAACAGTCTGTCAGAGGGGAAGATAATACAGAAAGTGTACCTAGATAGACGTATGTATTGTACACAACACACTCATAGTCAACATTCATCCGAAACTCGTTCCCGGTTTCTATTTTCTGCCGTATGTGTTTTTTTGGCTTTCCCAACTGAAATATGTGTGCTATTTTGGTCTAGTGTGGCGTGTCGCTTAAAATGAAGATAGGTATGGTTTTGGGCTTTCCCATAGGCCATAATTGGAACACGCTATTTTAGAAACGGATAGCCATAACTGGTACATCTACCCTACGTGTATCCTTTCTGAGTGCTTCTTTCTGTATTACGGTGATGGCTTTGAGTGGATTTTCATGGGAGGATGTGAGCTTATTAGTGAAAACAATTGGATAGCACTGGATGAAATTCGAGCGCCAAGTGGTATGGATACATTAAGATAGTTGTAGAAAGGAGTCTTTAAAGCGGGTTTACTAAATTTGATAGAGTTTGTTGATTTTACTCAATCTATTGCAAGGCTAACCTGACAATTTTACGATGTCGAGAAGAGACAACATCGAATCAAACGGGCATATTTTTTAGCTAAATAAAAAAATCCTTGTTTTAGACGGTCTAGTGCTTTTCAGGATAACATTGAAGTACATGTGAGCAGATAATGAACTGCCCGATCAAAATTTTAGCATATCTCATTTTCAGTAGTTGGATCAAACAATTTTTTTTGTTTTTCCTTCCTTGACTTATTTTCCTTCGATCTCCCACACCTGGACCCTACCTATCGACCCATCAACTCATAGACCATCGACCAACGGCTTTACTTCCCTTCTGAAGGATCAGGCGTGATCAGAGAAATTTATGCCTCAGAAAATCCCGGCGGCACCGACTGGCATTGAACCTAGGCCCTTTGGGGTGAGAGCTAATCACGCTTACAACTACACCACCGGTGCCGCTAAATCAAACAACTTTGGGTTCTTGCTTAGATCGTTCTGAGAAGTTCCTCGCCAAATGACGAATCGGAAAAACTAGACCGTTCCAATTTGTATGAAACTTTGGATAATTGTTTACGCCATTTTGTGTGTAAAATTTAAAAAATGGCCTCTTTGAAATTTGCTCAAAAATTTATTCACCGAAACGGCACGAAATGACGGCTGAGGCAAAGCTTGTGGCTAAAAATAATGTTGTTCTGGAAAAATACACAGTCGCGTAGAACCTTCGCATATCGTTCTGTTCCATACTTTCTTGCGCCTCAGCAATCACGCGTTCTTCGTATTGCCTTTTGACGTAGGACTACGTCTTTGATTTCTATATGGGGGTACACTTTGTGAAAACCGAAAATGGAACATGTAACAAATTAAGAAAGATTTTGAACGTTTATAACTCAGCTGCCCCTGGTCCAATTTCAATAATTTTATCACCAATCGTTCAGAAATATAGCTACGCGTTGATAACAATGCTTCCGAATGTTGATTTTCAACAATACACTATTGAAAAACTGGTAAATGTCCAGCATTGTCCAAAAGCGTCGAATTAACTAACAAATCCACCAATTACCTACATGCATATGCTGCTTCCCCAGCACAGTCGTCAGAGAGTAGTAAGTAGACGAAACAAGTCGAATTGGCATTCGCCTTCGATCCTCGGGCGCGTGCGAATAGGGAGGATGGAATTGCGTAATATTTTGCACACTCATCGCCATATTCAGAACCTAACGCAAATTCTTCGAGATAACTACCATCCGTCGTCTGGCTCGCCGTGTCGGTGTCTGACATATCTCCGGTTTGATTTAGGAGGTGTGCTGAAAAATGAGATCCGTGATGCTGTCACCTACACTAAACACGCCAAGCGTAAGCGGCCATGGATGTCATCTACGTTTTTGAAGTGACATTGACGCACTCTGTTTGGTTTCGGAGGTTAAATCATCACCAACATTGGAAACAAAACGGCTCTTTTCAGGGCCACCAAGCTTTTTACAGTAAAGAGTAGGAATAGAATTCATCTGCCTGTTTGTCCATATTCAAAACCACCGACCACACAAAATGCTCATGTAATCAAACTGGAAGCAGGGATACAAATTATTTTGATCAACCTTGATCAACTTTGAATCGCCACGGCCGGATATTTTCGATGGAAGAAGAAACAATCTAGCATCTAATTCGACGAAGACGGCAGGAAACATGTCTGGATCAACAATAGAATAGGGCCCATCAGCATTTGTAAACAAACCGTTCCAAAGCCTCACAAATTGAAGGCCGCTCACACAAACCAACACCAACATCTTGTAGGTAGAAGTTTTCCCCTATCCAATGATGGTGTTGGTTTGTGTGGGTGGCCTTCGCTTTGTGAGTAAAGGGCTTTGGAACGGTTTATTTACAAATGCTGATGGGCTCTTTTCTATTGTTGATCCAGATTTGTGAAGCCGAGTTATTTACGAAAGAGAGTGTCGATGAAGAGAATCGATCAATGTAGATAGGACCTATTGAAACCTATTGAGGCAGCTCCCAGAGATGTTATGCCTTAGAACATGCCGGTGGCGCCGACTGAGATTGGACCCAGGCCTGCTGGGGTGAAAGGTAATCACGCTAACCACCGGCGCTGATATCTATCACGGCGAATGAGAACGACCCAAATTTGAGTTTAGTTATCTCAGAAATAAGAAATAAAGTGCAGGAACTCAGCGATGAGTAAATTTGCCTCATGTTTTCCCAGGTTTTTCCAGGATTTTCCAGGGAAAAATTCCCGAATTTGAGAAAAGTAAAGATTGGTTTCACTCAGTCTATTGGTACTACTCCGAGACTGAATAAAATTTTCGTCAATTTCCTGATTTTCTGGCAGATCTTTTAGGTTTTCCACAGGAAACCATGAGACAAATTTACTCATCGCTGAGTTCCTACACTTTTGGCGATTATGAGTGAACTAATCTCAAATTTGGGTTGTTCTCATTCGCCGTGTACGCAAAAAGAAAATAGCCAGTGTCGCTACTTGATAGCAAACTACTCATAATGGGAGGAGTCTTTGTAGCTTTTATACCATTCTGCTTTAACCTAAAAAGATATAAAGCAGCGCTGCTGTCTGGTATCAGCTCATTTTCGCTTCGGACGGCGTGGTCAGCAATAGCAGCAGTAGGAAGGTGGCTAGTCCACTTTTCTATAACCAACAAGCAACACTTGACTGGTCGTGGCAAAGGAGGTGCCAATCGTCATCGCAAATTCTTCGTGATAACCACCATCCGTCGTCTGGCTCGCCGTGGCAGTGTCTGACGTATCTCCGGTCTGATCTACGAGGTGTGCTGAAGGTTTTCGTAGAAAATGAGGTCTGTGATGCTGTCACTTACACTAAACACGCCAAGCGTAAGTGGCAATGGATGTCCTCTTCAATAAAACGGCCCTTTTCATGGCCATTAAGCTTACATCAGTAAAGAGTTGGAATAGAATTTATCTGTGCTTGTTTGTCCATATTCAGAACCGCAAGCCCCCAACGACCACACAAACTTGGAAGCAGAGGTGCAAGTGATTTTGATTGATTCTCGTAATCAACTTTTTTTTTTTGAAAAAGATCACTACAAATTTGGTA